AAACTCTAAAACTGTATTTGAAAACTTACCAAACTATGCCCTCGATGACTGTTTCAAACCATACAAAGATTTTTTTAACCGACATACACTTTTACCATACTCCCCCTGAGCAGTAAACCCAGGTGGCTGCTCCATGTATACCTCTTCAACCAAGTCACCATATAGGAAAGTATTCTTGACGTCTAACTGAAACAAATGCCAATCAAGATTAGCAGTCAAAGAAATCAAGATACGAGCAGAGGAAATTTTGGCAACAACAGAGAAAGTCTCCTCATAATCAACACCATTGGTCTGAGAAAAGTCCTTTGCAATAAGCCGGGTTTTGAGACGCTCTACAGAATCATCCGGATGAAATTTAACAGCATACACCCAACGACAACTAATAGTTCGTTTACCAAGAGGTAAAGGAATGAGATCCCAAGTTTCATTATGATGTAAGACATCAATCTCATCCTCCATAGCTTTCCTCCAATTCGGATTAGATCATGCATCCTGTAAATGCTTAGGAATAGATATAGTAGATAATTGAGAGGTAAAACAAGAGAAGACAGGAGACAAGGCATCATATGAAACAAAATGAGTAATGAGATAATTAATAACACACGAACGAGTACCTTTTTGAAGAGTAATAGGTAAAGAGTCTAAATTACCTGACGGACCAGGATTAGAAGGCGGCAAGGAACACGGTACAGACACCTTAGGCGATGGTTGAGGATGACGAGAGTATACACGAAGAGGTAAAGTAGATGGTAACACAGTGGGCAGCAAAATATCTGAAGATGAGGGAAGAGATGACCTGAAGTTCAAATCCAAAGGCTGGGAAGGTGCTGGAAAATGTGGAATAGATTCCTCAAATATGACATCGGCACTAGTAAAGTAGGTCGTAGAGAAGGACTGTAGCAACGATACCACTTCTGTGTGTGGGAATAACCAAGAAATACAGATTTGGTAGCTTGAGGGTCAAGTTTGTCAAACCCAGGACCCAAATTGTGAATATAACAGATATCCAAAAACCTTAGGAGTTAGGAAAAATAAAGGCTTACCAGGAAAAATGACAGAATATGAACTTTGCCCATTTAACATAGAGGATGACATACGATTAATAAGGTGACAAGCAGTAAGAACAATATCACTCAAAAAATATCAGAGAATATTCATCTAGAATAACAAGGCACAGGTGACTTCCAACAAATAACGGTTCTTGCGTTCAGCAACACCGTTCTGTGGAGATGTGTAAGCACATGCAGTCTGATGAATAATGTTAGTTTTACTAAGATAAGCTAAAAAAGGATCAGATTCATATTCTTGAGTATTATCAAAACGTAAAATACGTATGCGACAGCCATATTGAGTTTTTATTTCTTTACGAAATGTCTCAAATATAGAGAATAATTCAAATCGAATTTTCATCAGAAACAACCAAGTCACACGAGAATAGTCATCCACAAATGACACAAAATAAGGATATTTATTAGATGAAGTATTCTTTATTAGACCCCATACATCAGAACGTACCAATTCAAATGGACTAGATGCACGATTATTGACTCTAGACTGAAATGACACACGATGATGTTTACTAAGTTGACAAGCTTCACAAGACAAAGACGACATAAAACTAAGACTGGAACTTAGCACTTCAGATTCTGGAGAGAGGGATGTCCAAGACAACAATGCCATTGAAAAGGAGACAACGAGGTCTGTAGAGCCCGAGTAGGTGAATCAAAATCAAAGTAATATAGGCCACTTGCTTCATGTCCCGAACCAATCTTCCTCTTCGCTTGAGATCCTGAAAGACACAATAAGAGGAATAAAAAGTTACAGAACAATTGAGAGAACGGGTAATCTTGCTAATAGAAAGTAAATTAAAAGGAAACTGAAGAACAAATAACACAGAAGATAGGGACATATCAGGACTTAAGTGAGTAGTCCCTAGACCTGAAATTTTAGAACAAGTACCATTAGCAAGAGTAACACTACGTGTAGAAATATCAAACTGATAAGTAGAAAAAATATCAGACGCACCAGTCATGTGGTTAGACGCACTAGTCATGTGGTCAGACGCACCAGAGTCTATGATCTAGGGACTGCGAGTGGACGACAATAGACAAGTGAAAACAATACCTGACTGGGCAAAAGTTGCGGTGGTGGGAGATGAGACAACCTGTTGTTGGGACAGGAATTGAGTATACTCCTCTCGTGTAATCTGGTGGAGCTGACCGAGGTATAGAAGCAGCAACAGAGGTGCCATCCTGATAGGAAGCCTGATTCGCAGCATCTGAAAGTTTTTCATGTAAATCCCAACAGAAATCAATAGTGTGCCCTCCACGGTCATAGTGAGTAAAGGAATGAGGTCCATTACGGCCCTCACGACCACCAGTATGACCTCCTCGACCACCACGACCATTACGGCCACCATGACCTCCTCGAGGACCATCACAGTGGCTACTAGGAACCATAAAAGCTGAGTGATCAGTGGAGACACCATGATTGATACCTGAAATAGACAAAGTAGCACACTGTACACGAGAGAAAACCTCAAGTAGTGAGGGAAGACTAGAACCACTCAAAATCTGCGAACGAATAGCCTCGTATTCAGGTTTCAATCTTACTAAAAACCTAACAACATTCATGTCCTCATGTTGTTTTTGTCAAACTGTTGCATCAGTAGTAAACGGATGGTAGGTCTTCATCTTCTCACAAACAACCCGAATATGAGAGTAATAATTCTCAATACTCAGAGTACTCTGTTTTAGTCGGAAGTACTCTTTGCACATCTCATTAGTTCGGGTAAAATTATTTGTACTAGAATACATAGTGGCCAAGTGATCCCATATCTCCTTGGCAGTGTCAAGGTAGAGTAGAGTAGAACTAATATTAGGCTCAATACTATTCAGTAATAAAGACATAATTTGAGCGTTCTCTTGTTCCCACTGATCATACCCAGGAGTATCTTCTTTGGGTTTAGGATCTATCAAATATCTCTTAAATCCTTTGTCTCGAAGAAAGACTTGAGCGAATCGGGATCATAAAGTATAATTGGTCCCATTGAGTTTAACCGAGGTCATAGGACCATTGATAAGAGTAAGGGATGGCAAAGACAGAGTAAGAGACTTAGTATCTTGCTTGGGTTCCATTACAGTGCAGCAAATAGGAAACAAGAAGTGCTGCAATGCTAAACCAGAGAAAAAGAGGCTGCTGGAAGAATGATTCGGACTGGTCTAGTCTAGTTTGGACCGGTCTGGTCTTGGATCAGGGTCTGGATCTGGTTTTAAGAATAGTTATGCTAGTGGACTTGGATCCTTTACCCAAACTCGTAAACTGACTCACTTAAACTAAGCCGTCTCCTTCACTAATTAGGGTTTCTACCAAACCCTATTCCTTCCCTGTTGATTGCGCCAAGAGAACACCACCACAACACCGAACACCACCGCAGACCACTGCGAACGTTAGTCACACACCACCACGAGGCAAAAATCAGACTCCACCAAGGTTGACTGCACCACCACGAAGGAAAAAAAAAAGGATAAACTTCACCAGTCGACTGCACCACCACGAAGCAAAACTCTGCATCACCACGAAGCAAAACCCAGACACCACCAAGTCGACATCACCAACGTCGACTACACCAATGACAACAACACTACACTGACAACAACAACACTAGTTTGGGTTAATATTTGTATTTGGAATAACCTTGCTCTGATACCATGTTAAGTTGAGAGAATTAACATAATACAATATTAGAGACAATATTAGAGAGAAAGAGAGAGGTTAAAAACTTAACCTAACTCTCATACATCACTTGTATTTATAGTTAACTCACAATAATATGAATTACACATACACCCTCTAATTATTAACAGTTTACACATACTAATATTTTTAACAATCTGCTATTATTTCAACTCCATTTCTATATTTTTTTTTTCTAGTATAGTAACGTTTTTACTCTGTGTTTTCTAATTCTCTCCTACCTATTTGATTTCTTGTAAGCATGCTATGTTAACTTTTCTCCTAATCATAGTTTCAACTGACTCTGTTCCTTTACGTGTAAGTGACTAAGTTTTCCTATATTCTAAGTTGCTAACCTAAGCTTAGTATTTGAACTAACTTTTTTTATCGCGTTTGTCTAAAGTGACGCGGGAACCCTTGCATATTTTCCACCGCATTCGGGCGACTATAATGTGGTGGCCCTTGTCCATTTTTTGAAATATAGGAGTACGAGTGCAACACATTGCTTAAGGAGAATGCCCTAGTATTTATGCGTATATTATTTGGATTCATGTTCATATTGGATCTGACAAAATTTTACACTGGTTGTCAACTAGCTAATGCAACCCTTCTCCTTTATATGTGCTTGAGATTAGTTGTGAAAAAGATAGGCACTAAAACTCAACACAAGCGGAGTTACATTTTATCACCATCTGTATATTTATTTGTCCACCTAATAGAAGAATAGATTTTATTTGTTCATCTCCCCTTAATTTTTTTTTTTCATTATTACTTCTAGTTCTAATACTGTTCTTGGTGATCTTAGATTTTCTTGAGTGTTTTCTTGATATGATGTTTGTTCTAACTTTACCGTACAAAGAGGTTAATGTAGGCTAAGAAGGAGAAGAATGGATTGCGCTGCATGCATGGAGCAAAATTCATGAGGAAAAAAATATCAATTAGAATCAAAGTAAAAAAGATTGATACATTTTTAAAGCAATTTAATATTTGTTCAGTAATTTTGTCTTCTTTTTAACCCATTACCCATAAGGCCTCTTTATAAGTAACCCTAAATAGCCTAGTTAAGACTTCCCAAAAATAAAACATTAGAATAATATTGAACTCCTAAATCAATAAAACAAAACCAATAAGTCCTACTCAAGAAAATAATGCTAAAATAAATTCTTAAACCCTAATCTTCAGTTTCAGTCACTGTCCTATGGCTCTTAGTTTTTTTCTTTGATTGCTTTAACCAAGGTGATGGACCATTTACAAGATATTCTTGCATGGCTATCTTAAAAATATTGAATGTTGGTTCTTCGTCAAACCAAGAGTAAGTATATCTTTTCCTAAGTTTATGATGTGTGGATTGAATTGGATTTTCTCTGTTTGATTTATACCATCTCTTCTGGCCTGTCTATTTTGCCACTCATTAAGATTTTGGTTTCAACTTTGATTTTCTTTTGATTTTGATATTTTGGCGTACTTTCTCTGTTTGTACGCATGATGAACTAAGGGTGGTTTCTAGCTATTGCCACTGTGGTTAAATCAAAGAATTTAGGTGTAAAATGCTATCCGGAATAACGGGGCAATACAGGCCTTTTTATATGCAGTGAAAACCTCAGCTGCCAATCTCATTTTAGCCTGTAGCTGCTTGTTCAACAAGTTCGTACATTAGCTGTTTTGTCGGATTCTGTGAGGAAATTTGAGTCTCTTAGAAATTTATGTCATAGATTGGCATGTTGCTTGAGTTTGTGGTTGGCTGCATTTACATTTGCAGTAAATTTCATTCCTTCGGATTGTTTAAATTTGTTTCTTCATTCTTAAGAGTCATGGATGCCACTGTTTTCTGCAGCAATTCGATAATCATAATCTTCCTCTTTCAGCAAAATCATTGAGAATGACAGTAGTAATCAAACCTTTGATAAGTTTCAAACTCTCTGCCTATCAGGTTCTACTCTAGAGAGGATGCCGAAGATTCAGTCAAGTATATAAGCGGGACAATTCTTGATGATCGCCCTATTCGAGTAGATTTTGATTGGGGATTTCAAGAAGGCAGGCAATGGGGACGTGGTCGAAGTGGTGGACAGGTGTTGTGCATGCCATTTATTGCTATAGGTTTGCCCTGGAACTTTATCTGATTCATATCTTCTTTTTCAGGTACGAGATGAGTATCGTACGGACTACGATCCAGATATCCTTTCAAGTTTTACTTCGATTATGTACATTCGTTTTCTTCATCCAATCTGATGTGTTTCATGTGCATTGTTTTTTATTCATTATTTTAATGAAGCACAATTTTTTGTATGCTTACTTTGGGATTCAGCTACCATTTTGTCCGTAGTGCGGCTGTTTTGTTTTATGTTTCATGTTTTAGATAGCTTGCAATTGGGTAAACCAGGTAGATAATTTTAGCTTGCAAGAGCAGAAGAAAACCAGATTGTGCTGATTTGAAAGCATATATCTATATAACTTGCGTGCCATAAGTTCTACTATTTATAGGTCAAGTAATCAAGCAAGTTCTTTGTGATTGAAGTGTAGTGATGGTGCTGTTATTGTTTGTTCCAGAGTTTCGAGATTGCCATATCACAAAACTTTCCGTCCAATAATTCTAGATTGTAACTCTTGAATTAAATGTATATTTTTTCTTTCAAGTTCATTTATTAACTTTACCAATTCATAAGACATCTCGGTTGGTTCTATTGCCAATTTCATTTACAAAAGTAAGGTTGTAGTGTTGACTATCGACTTGAATGGTATTGAGACTTAATGGTCGCGGTGTGGAATGGTATCAGGTGATACTCACAAAAGGAAGGATATAAGAAGTTGGGCATAAGGAGAGAGGCAACCTTACTACGGCATTGCGAAACCGTATCCCAGTGTTGTGGAACGATGAGTCGACCGAATCGTTTGTTACGTCTCCCAGTCAACCACAGACTGAGTGGGACTCATGGTTTGCAAGAAACATGTATCGATGTTGGAACAAAAAGTGTCAAGTCGAATACGACTCGGTTGGTTCGTATTGGTATCGACCCAGTGTTTTGAACCATCCATGATCTTTATGTATGGCCCAACCATCTTGAGTACTAACAATTTCATGTTCTTCTGTTTTTTGTTTGGCACTTAGCAGTACCTTATATCCTATCCCGTCACCAAAGAGCAGTCATCTTTAGGTGATGGTTGGTGTTTTCTATGCAATTGGATTTCATTGGTGCTTGCCTGCACCTCTTTTTCTTGCACTTTGCCTATGTTATACTACATTTGTCTACAGTAGAAGGATGTAATATCTGAGTAAACCTTGAATTGCCTTATCTGGGTCTATATTACATTGGGGCGCATGGGAACTATTGTCCCCTTCCCCCTGCTGTGGGTTGGGCCGGGTCAGGGGCATAGGGGGTTTGAAATTAATATAGGGAATTAAGGACTTAATTAATTATATTAGTGTGCATCTTACTTCATACCACATGCTAATTTATATTTTTTCAAAAATGGCCTGAAAACTTGTGCATTCTAGTGGTCCGGCACTGAAATTGGGGTTTTGTCACCTGGGACAGGTTAGTTTTATATAGTCTCATAATGTTATAGAATTTTCTTTACTTCACAAATGGCCTTGGTGCCATATAATGGGGCATTGAAAATGGAAGAAAATTGGATACTATTCGCTAGAGCCTCTCTCTCTCAATCTTTCTACTCATTCTCACATATCTCTCATATCTTTTCTTTGAGCATCTTCTCTTATTTTTCCTTATCTTCATTATTTGTCTTCCTTACTCTTGTCCATTTATCTCATCTTCTTCCCTTCCTCTTCTTTGTCTTTTCATTATCTGTTACAAAAACTAATACATTTCTCATTTTAAGTACCTTAGGCAGGTTGCATCGTCTTTTATATTCATTCATTTATTTATTATAATGCTTATGTAAATTACATCTAGATCTTATAGTTTTTTGTTCCATTTCTTTTCCAATCCAATGCTAGACCTTTTTGTGATATTTTTATTTGTCATTAACTTGTACTAGGTTACTAATCTGATTTCCACTTGACAACTTTGGAAGAATAGGCACAGATGACTTTACTGGTTGGGGTGGCTGTTTAGAGTGATTGGTTCTTTTTTAACTTTTAGCCTGGTCTTCATAGATCAAGGATTGGTGATCTGTTTCCTTTTAAATTTGAGATGCTTGAGTACATTGTCAGGTTTAAATCATTCTGATGACCAATAGCTCTTTCGAGATCTACTTTTTAAATTTCTATTTGTTTTGTTCATTCTTAGATTTAAATTGTGTGGTTAATCTTTGACTCTTTTTATTTTCATGGTTTACTTATATAAATTCATATTTTCATCCAATTTTCTTCATGGCGTATATCATACTATCACTTGAACTTTAGCATGTAATATAGGGACGGTTCATGTCTTACCAAGTGATTCCTCTATCTCCTTGGTTGTTGATCTCAAATAGTTGGGAAAAACTGAACTGCTTCTTGAGTTTCCTTGACTAGTCCTACGCAGGGGTGGTTATGGAAAATTGGTTCAGAGAGAGTTGGAAGCGCAAAGGCAGCTAGTAGATTATGGTACCGGATCATTGGCGTCCTTCCCACCTGTTATGCCTCCTCACTGTAAGTTCAGGAGCAACTTCATGCACATTTCTCTTGTTTTTACACTACTAAGAAATTGATCAGTTGTCCCTTCTTATTAAAGAGTCATTCAGTAAATTGCTCTTATGCTAAGAGAATATTCTGAAAAACTTTGGAATATTGGAATTATTGTATGGGTCTTTGGAATTTTTTGTTTAAAGTTGAAATAAAAGCAAGTGTAGTTTCACATTTCACAGCTACGCATTCCACATCCATGGTGATACAATGAGAAGGATTTTGTTGTTGATTCAAAAGATAAAACTTTTGACTAGAAGAAAAGGCAATCAAGCTACCTGCATGATGCAGATCAGTATAATCTTGAAAAAAGTGTACTTTAGGGTCCAGAATATGATCCATATTATTGTCAGCCCTAGCTAGGAAGTTAAGACTAGTCCTTTCCAAGAGCTATAAAAGAGTCTATCTTTGAGTCTTCTTGCGAAGCTAAGCCAGGTCTCATATTTCTCTTAGGAAGATTACTATTTCCTTTCAATAAATTTTGGTTGAATTGCACATTTGTGACTACTTGTAAGTTTCTCTGCATATTATACATTGAGATGAATTTAGATTTATTTTCACAAGATTGGGAAATAGATTCTTTTCACAGAAGGTCAATGCAATCTTATAATGACCAGGTATTTGTTCACCTGTTTGAAAACCCTTATGGGGATTAACATGTGAACTATGAAAATACAAGTTGACTGCTTAACCTCTTGACTGACGTGTGGGGTGGTTGGTGTGAAACTTGTTTGAATTGTGATGCTTCTTGCTAGTTTGCATCAATGCCTCTGTTACTGCAACAGCTGACCTTTAAGCTGCGCAGATGGGAGACATGGTGGAAGCCAGGGTCACAGTGGCTCTCATCGGCATGGTAGAGGTATGGTTATGGTTCTTGGTTAAGGGGATTTCTATATTTTGTGTGATTTATTAGTTTAGATTTTATTGTCTTTTGTGTGTTTTTCGAGAAAACAGATTTTCATCGGAAGCGATATCGAGAAGATGACCGCCATGGGTCCGATATCTCAAAGAGAAGTTCTGACCAGGAATCTCGGAGAAATGCAGATCATGACTCGAGACCGGTTAGTTCTTAGTAGCTAACGTTCAGGGGTCAATTTCTTTTTTCTGATGATTTTGATTTGTTTATCAGCTATGCTATCAATAAAGGGAGAGGAGGGGTTTGGTGTCCTGTCCCTTTACTAGTAGTTAATTTTTTTTTTTTGGGGAAAGGGGGAGGAGAGAATTGAACCATTGACCTCAAGAAGACAAAATCTTCATAAGACAAGGAATACCATTGGATCAAAGGCCCGTTGGTTATTAGTAGTTAATTAGTAGTCTATTATTATTTGTTATTAGTGGTCAATTTATTATTAACTTCCCGGGTAAAACTCCCCATCCTCTCATGATCCTTTGTCCCTCTCTCACATCTCTTTTCCCTTGACCGTCTCACTCTCACGTTAAATCTCCCGATTCCCAACTGCCACATCTCATATAACTGATCGAAAACAGTTTTCTATCTGCATTCGTCTCAAACTCTCATACTTTCTCAGGCTCTCAAGTGCTTTGTCCCTTTCTCTCCCACTCTATCTCATTTGTCACACAATGCTCATTAATTTGCAGACGCTGTGTACCATGAAAACTAGTCATTATTTATTTATTTTTGGTCCCTTTCCCGGCCCCATCTTCTCCACCAGCACAACCCTCTTCTTACATTTCCAAGTTTTTGTCTAGTTAATGTATTGTGGAATCTGGCTGTCAATTTAACTGAAAATGTGAGGAATCCGTATGCCTGTTCTGTAGCTATTTATGATACCGAACTCCTGTAGCACCTATGATTCTGCTAATGTCATGTCATTAGCAGCTTCTAATGAAAGAAAAGCTGGCAACTGGTCGAATATAATAGCAGAGTAACAAAACCCCTCGGATTTTTTGTGTTTATGCGTTTGAAAATTTTAGGTTTTGGTTCTCAGGAAGGATGAGAAGAACGAATGACATGTTGAATAATGGCTTCTTTTCTTGAGCATTTTCCTTGGTAAAGCGGAGTGTTTAGACTTATAATGTCATGTCACATAATTTAAACATTATTTTGATGCAACAGGAGAAGAATCCACGTTTCCGTGAAAGTGGCGATTCCGAGGATGAGGAGGAAGATGATCGGAAGCGACGTCCTTAGCTTTTTTGTCAGTTCTACCTTAATCTATGAAACTAATTATCATTACTCTATTATCCTGAATCATGCTGTCTAACTTCCAATGGGAATTAGATCTAGTAATCCTAACAAAAGATAGATGTAGTAATGTTGCAACAAGATGCAGTGCGTGTATTGGTTTCTTAACACCCCTCCCCCAATTTCCCTCCCCTTTCTTTTTAGTTTTCCTTCCTCTTTCAAGGCCCAAACTGTTGCTTCTTGGGTTATTTTGCTTCACTGATTACGTTTTCAATGCAATTGTCAAAATGTGTCATATATGGGAAATTTTATAGTTGTATGCAGACAAAAATACTCTTAAATCATTATTTAATGATCCGCATAGTAAAACCATCAGTGCCTCTTTGGTTGAGTAAATATTAAATGCAACGATCACCAAATTATAAAAAGACTCCAAATGGAAAAGGTGAATTTTACTTGAGATTACATGGTATATTGGTGGGGAGTAAGTTATTTACATGACAAGTTATTTATTTTTGTGGAGTTTATTTATTTATTTGTTTTAGTATTATTGATTGTTGATATTACATAACATTGTTGCGTGATGTCACTGTTGTAATGAATATTTTCTCCTCTTTGGTCTGCGGTTTGTATTAGTTTGGATTGCACAATCCAGTCTGTTCCAATCCCGCACTATTTGGATTGGTCTAGACCGCGCAATCTGGTCTGTTCCAATCCCTCACGTAGGGATTAGGCCTGATTAGAGGATAAATCTGTACGGCATGGTTTTTAATCCATGTTGGGGTTCGTACCCGATTGAGGGGAATTTAACATCCTCGAGCCCAGTCTGGTTTTTGCAGTGTTTATCAAGAGTAATGTTATGTAATTCAAATTTACAACTCAAATTTATATCTCAATTGAGGGGATCATTTGATTAATGAGTCCTATTTAAAAAAGGTGATGAGATTCATTCATCTAATTGTTTTTCATTTGTAATGTAAATTTGGATTACATATTATTTTCCGTCCAATTACCCCTGTAAGTCCACTCCAATGTTGCTTTTGTTTTGTGAAAAATCGGTTGGATAGTAATAAAACCAAAAAAAAAAAAAATATTAGAATCTTTTTTTTGATTGAGGTGACATAAAGTTTTATTGTATTCGATGTATTTAGTAAAGTGTAATTTAAAAAGGAATGTTACATAACCTAAATAAAATGTAAAAAATTGTAATTCAAAGGTATATTATTTTTTTGATAAGTAGGTTTTATCAATTTTTCTAGTGGAATTTACTCATCCAATAAATGGTATACATTTGTGTTGTATTTTTTAGGGTTTCATTTGAATTGTGTAACATTTTTTTAATTCAAATTTGGAATTCAAATACTAGATTCTCATGTAGAGAGTCCTACTTTTTTATTTTTTTATTTTTTTTTGTTACTTTTAGGCACCAAAGCTTTTTGGATATTTGACATGGGAAAATCGGGTGAGGGCTGTTCTTCACAAATTGATCGTCTCAGTTTCAGTTGGTCGATCGGTAGTGAGGTGTTTTGAGTGTCCGATTAGCATCTCTAAGTATTTATATGCCTAACGCATCGACAAAAAAGTATTGCTACCATGTTGAATTTAATTTGTAATTATAAATTTTGGTTTGTTTTATATGTAGTTATTGATAGAATAAAAAACAATAAAGTAATCATAAGACAACACGCCTCACTTTTTATTAGACAGAAGTAGGGTTATGATACATAGTTGTACTTGATATGGATATGTGACGGATTTGTCCTAACGTAGTTGATTATTTGTGATTCAGATGTTACCAATTAAAAGATCGAGTGGTCAATATATCCCAAACTTGAAAGCATAATATCTTGTTTCCAGGTCTTTGGGTTTTTATTGTGTTATTCTCGAGGTTTCACTTCTATGTGAATATTTTGTCATTTGTTAGATCATTATTTGAAAATTGTAGTAGTTGATTTTTATTGTGACCGATGTACATAATAAACATCCGAATGTGAAATTTTGTCTGTTTGACAAATAAAAAAAATGATATCTGATCTATTTTTTGTCAAATAAAATAAACTAACCATCATTCTTTCTATAGAGTTTCACATCAATTTTTTCTTTCATTATCATACTTATCTAACTTAGTTGATGAACTCGAAGGTGTTCTAAGTGATTTCATACTTTTCAAACCGTTCTTTTTGAGGGGCTACTTAGAATATTTGGTTTAATGAAGGAAAATTCTTTCTTTACCTTGTTTTATTTCTTAAGAAAAAATTTAATTCACCAATCAAACTCATTTCAAATTCACTGCTGATACAAGAAGCAAATTCCTCATAAAAGTGTTTATTTGTAGCTCTAAAGATAGTATCAACTACATATATTTGAATTATCGACCTATCATTATTTTGAGGTTTTATAAAATAATGTAGTATCTACTTTCTCCATTGAGAAGCTATTTGTAAGTAGAAATTTACTAAATCTTTCATACCAAGTTATTGGAACTCGTTTTAATCCATACAATGTTTTGGTTAATTTATAAATATGATTAAGATCTTTATCATCTTCAAATTTCCGGGTTGTTCTATACATACATTTTCCATTATATCCATTTAAAAATATACTTTTGACATCCATTATATATAACTTACAGACTTTATAACAAGTATTGGCAAACAACATTCTTATTGCTTCTAACCTAACTACCGAAGCCAATGTCTCATCATAGACAATTTCTTCTTCTTGATTATATTCTTAAGCTACTAGTCTAGTTTTATTCTTTGTTATAGTTCCATTTTCATCAACTTTGTTTCTAAATACAAATTTTATTTCGATGATAGTTACATTAGTTGGTCTAGGTACTATGCAATACTTTATTTCTTTCAAATTAATTTAATTCTTTTTACATGAATACTAAATACACGAATCATTTTTTAGTGTTTCATTTATGTTTTTGGGTTTAGTTTCAACTAAGAATGCTAGATTATTACAAATATTTTTAAAACTTGATTTAGTTTTAATCCCTTGAGTTGGATCTCTGATTATTTATTCGATTGGGTGATCACTTACTACCTTGAATTCCTTAGGAAGTTCTTGAGGTATGATTTCATATTTATTATCATTTGGAGTGTCATCTTCATTGGGTTCATCTACCTTGAGCTTTTCAAATGTAAAGTTCAATTCAAATTCATCATCGTCATCTATATTTTTGACTATAATAAGATCCGACTCATCAAACATTACATGCATGAATTCTTCTACAACTAAAGTTCTTTTATTGAATACTTTGTATTTTTTAACTATGAGTTGAATAACGTAGGAATTATAGCTTCATCCGATTTTGCATAAAATTTGTCTAGATAATATTTGGTATTTAGCACAAAATACTTGCATCCAAAGACTTTAAAGTACAACTTCTCTATTTCTCCATAATCATAGGATGTCTTTTCGATTATTGATTTAGTAAAAACTCTATTTAGAATATAGCATGAGTAATTTATGACTTCGACTCAAGAGTACTTAGGCCAGTTGTATTCATTAAACATACTTATACTCATTTCAATTATTATTTTATTCTTTCTTTCAACTACAGTATTTTGTTGAGGTGTTCTAGGGGCCAAACACTCATGTTCATATCCTTTTCCTGAGCAAAATTTCTCAAATTTATCTGATCAAATTGTTGGAAAAATGAGATGCAAAAAGTAGGCGGAGTAGTGTGGTTCGTAGATTTTAGAAATCTGTCTCTCCTTCGCTAGTCTCACCCCTGCGTACGTGAGAGTACTAAGGTCTCACTTTAACTCAAATGTTAGATAACACTAGCATATATATATAATTTTAAGTACTTTTAGATATTTAGTTGATGTGAGATTGAGTTTCCACACATAAAAAAACACCCTTTTAGTTAAAATACTCTAACAATCCCCCATTTGTTTTAATAAAAGATACACTATATAAGTAACGGGACAATAAATAAAATATCAGGCATTGTAAACGTGGCAATGCCTTTAAACCTTTACTTAGTGCTTCAATGTTCCCGTATTAGAGTCAAAGTGGACTTAGCCTTTAAACGATGACTACTTGAGGGTACATAGAACTATATCACACACATGATATTCAAGGTGTCAAATACCAAGCTTCAAAAACCAGCACATTTTTGGCCTTGTGTTTTATCCTAGTCTCTTGAGTGCTCTAGAGAATTAGCCCAAATTCTCATAGGAAGCGGCCCATCTTCCATACACTTATAGGTGAGCCTATCAAGGATGTTCTCATAACTAAGACATCCCACCCAAAAAGGGCTATAGAACTCATTAAGAGATATTGATCTTACCCTCCAAATTTTCATTATGAGATCACATGTACTTTACACCATAGGGATGGACAATAAATATAAAATTTCAACAATGATATATATTTCATTGGTACATGTTCCACAAACCAAGTCACTCTATGATTCGTTTGTCCCATTAACTTAGTTCTTGGGATCTCCAGTCCCTAGGTTGGGTATCCTCATATGTAACTTAATCGGATTTGGGCTTGAGTCCAATCCCCCTTACTGTACTCTAGATCTTTTCTCTAGCTGGAGCTTTTGTAAACGGATCGACAAGATTGTTAGTCGAACTCACATAATCAATATTGATTGCACCATTATATAGGTATGATCTCATAGTACCGTTCTTTCTTCTCACATATCTGGATTTTCTATTATAGTACTTATTATGTACTCTACCTATTGCGACATTGCTGTCACAATGAATTAACATAGGTGGCACTGGTTTAGCCCACAAAGGTATATCAAACAACAAATCACAAAGCCACCTAGCTTCCTTACTAGCTGAAGCTAGCACAATCAATTTAGCTTCCATTGTTGACTTTGCAATAATTTGCTGCTTCTTTGATTTCCAGCTTATGACTCCACCACCTAAAAACATAACCTATAGTGGACATAGAATCACCCGATATGGTGTTCCAATTTGCATCACAGTAACCTTCAAGGACAATAGGATGATTTTTATAAAATAGACTAACAT